CTGCAAACAAAAAAGAAGGAAAAAATTGTGTAGTTACAGAAATTCTAAATGGTAGGGAAGTCAAGACAACTACAAGATAGAACAGACTGTTCTAAACTTGGGAAGAAAATTATAAATCAGAGGGTAACCTCAAAGAAAAAGGATAAACCTCACATCAAAATAAAAAAGAGGCCCAGCACAAATATTTAGCAAATACTAAAACAACAGCAGTGAAAGAAATCATAACACAATTCATAAACACAATTAGATTAGCACAGAAAATTACATGGAACAAAGAAATCAACACTACAAAAAAGCACGTTAACAAAAATGACAGCAAAAAATTCATACTTGTCGATAATTACATATTTAGCAAGGGGCTTATCTCTAAAATTTATAGAAAACTCTAACACCTCAACAACAAAAAGATTAACAATCCAATTAAAAATGGGCAGAAGACACCAAAGAGGATATTCAGGTGGCCAGCAAATACATCAAGAAATGCTCATGATCATTAGCCATCAGAGAGATGCAAATCAAAACAATGAGATACCATCTCACCCCAGCACTAATGGCAAAGTTCAACAAGACAGAAAATAATAAATGCTGGCAAGGATGTGGAGAGATTGGGACTCTCATACACTGCTGATGGGACTGTCAAATGATATAAGCAGTGTGGAAAACAGTATGGTGATTCCTTAAAAAGCTGGAATTAGAAATACCATTTGACCCAGCAATCCCATTACTAGGTATATATCCTAAAGAAGTGAAAATCGGGACAAGAACAGATATATGCACATCCACATTCATTACAGCACTGTTTACAATAGCAAAAAGATGGAAACAAACTACGTGCACATCAACAGAAGAATGGATGACCATACATACATGTCACAATCGATGACATACACACAATGGAATACTATGCAACACTAAAGAATGGTGTAGAATTTGCAAAACACTGCATAACATGCATGAACTTGGAAGACATTATGCTGAGTGAAATAAGTCAATCACAGGAGGACAAATACAGTATTATTTCACTATTGTAAAAAGTCAAGAAAAGTTTTATATATGGAAGGAAACTTTATTTGTTCATTACCGGGGTGAGGGGGAGGGAAGGGGAAAGAACACTGGAAAAAAAAAAAAAAAAGAAAAAAAAAATGCATTGACCCATGTCACTTTAGTTTTGTGTTTCACTGTACATAAATTATATTTCAATAAAATGCATTTAAAGAAAAAAATAGTGATAGCTGGGCACCATCTAGTTCTTCTGGTCTCAGGCTAGAAGAGGACATGGTTCTTATGGACCATTAGTCCTAATTTCTCCTGAGTCTTTCGTTTCTTTCACTGTTCTTTGCTCCAGACAGGAAGAGACCAATAACTGCATCTTAGATGGCTGCTCACAAGGTTTTAAGACCCCAGACATTACTTACCAAACTAGGATGAAGAACATTAACTTCATGAACTATATTATACCAATTGATTGAGTTGTCCCACGAGACTATGGTTCCAAGCCTTCAAGCCCAGTAAACCAATCCCACAAGGTTATGTCTTGGTAGTATCTGTAACTGTGCCCTGTATGAGGTTTCATATATATATGTATATATGTATATATATATATGTGTATATATATGTATATATGAGGCTATTTGCAGTACACATAAATATGTATACACATATGCCTGCAGATACAGCTGTACAGGTATAGTCATATACTCACACTTGCTTTTCTATACACATATATGCTTACATGACCTTAAGTGAGACCTTAATCAGTGGAAGGGGAGTTGCTTTAGGGATGTTCCTCTATGGAGGAACTTTGGGAAAGGTCTCTAGCTTTTGGCACATTTGGATCCTGTGTTTGGCCAAGTCTTCATTTCCAGTTCCCAGATTTGAACCAGTTTATTGGTTACAATTGTTGTTATAGTATTTTATAGTATTTATTGAAATTATCTCTTATTCTTGGGTACCTCTTAGCATCTTCCTTTGACTTGGGTAAGTTGTGTAGACTTCATCTATATCAGGTATTGCTTTTCTTATCACCAAAAACAGTAAGTGTTTACTACTTAGAAAGAGAGTCACCCTCTCTCCTCCTCTCATCCCTGGTAAACCTCAAAGATCCTTGCTTTCTGTGTATATACCTATTCTTGAATTTTTATAAAAGTGAGACCATACAATATTTGTTCTTTTGTGATTGACTTATTTAATTCAGCATAATGTCCTCCATATTCACACGTTATAATCATTATTCCTTACAGTTGTGTAGTATTCCATTATGTTTACGATAATTTGTTTACCCATTCATCCTTTCATGGGCATTTGTTTCCATCTTTTGCTATTGTGAAGAATGCTACAATGAACATAGGTGTGCATATGTCTATTTGTATCCCTACTCTTATAACTCTAGGATACAAACCTAGGAGACTGCTGATCATAAGGTATTTCTATTTCTAGCTTTTGAAGAAATGCCACACCGTTTTCCACAGTGATTCAGCCCTCTTTTAAAAAAGTCTTGTAGCCTTTTCTAAATTAAAATGTGGTAGTTAAGGTTCTGTGTCAGCTTGGCTGGGCCATGATTTTGAGTGGTGTGGCAGCTGGATGTAGTTATTCCCCGTGATGAGATTGGATGTGGTGTCATCAACTCCATGGAGAATCTGCTGTGAGATCTTAATCATTGGAAAGGGAGTTGCTTTAGGGGTGTGGCCTACTTCCAGTACATATGGAGGAACTTTGGGAAAGATCTCTAGTTTTGGCACATATGGAGGAACTCTGGGAAAGGTCTCTAGTTTTTGGCACATTTTGGATCCTTTGTTTGGCCAAGTCTTCATTTCCAGTTCCCAGATTTGAACCAGTGGCCTGTTACGTTGCCTGCTGATCTTGGGATTGTTCCTAGACTTGAATCAGTGACCTGCCATGCTTTCTGTTGATCTTGGCATTGTGCCATTCTACCTGCAGACCTTGGGTTAGTCAGCCTCAGCAGCCTGCAGCTGCCTGAATTAGGAGATGCCTCTGGCTTCTGTAGTGATACCACCTCGGAAACCCAAAGAGGGGTCGATATAAGTCGGATCTGACTCAATGGCAGTGCATTTGGGTTTGGTTTGGTCTGGGTCCAGTGGGCCGGGAACAAGAGCTGAAGCCCAAGGTTAATGGGCCTTTACCCAGCCCCTAGAGCTGGCACTGTGAATTTGGACTTCTAGGCTCCTAAACTGTAAGAGAATAAATTTCTATTCATTAAAGCCATTCACTTGTGGTATTTCTGTTATAGCAGCAATAGAGGACCAAGACAGAACAATTTTATTCTATCACTATATGACCTCTTCTATAAGTATAGAATAGCCCAAATATAACCAGCCCAATATCATGTAAGACTTCAAAATATCTAAAGCATAAAATAACAAACATGTTGTTACTTATGGTCATTAGAAGCCAAGACATAGATTCAGATAACCCAAAATAATTTTTGGACTAACCACTGGCTTAAAATGTCTATGAAGAGAAACAAAACAATAAACTGTGGTACTGGTAATCTCCTAAACCAGATGGTCTTAAATCAGCGTTGATTGCACCAGTGGGACCACAGGCTCCCTGATGATGTATCAGAATTTCATAAATGTCTAACTTGCATTCCATTTTCAAAATACTCTTTATGTTTAAAAAGCTGAAGTGAAAAATATCATGCACACTGACATGTGCTATAAACCAAATGCAAATTCATCAGTTGAGCTGCCAGGCCACCTTGATTTTATGCAGACTCTGGAATAAACCTTCTCCTGCCAGCTCCTTCCACATATCTGAACTTCTTGTAAACATGTCACTGATTAGGAAGGCTGCAGTTATGCACTGAATATTTTTAAAACTCAGGTTTGCACATGGCTGCTCATGTAAAATTATACCTAGTAATACAGGTTATGTGTGGGAAACAGGATTTTCTCAGTACTATGCAAACAAAATAAAACATGGTGGAATAAATAAGAAGCTGTAGCTAGTTTATGATTATAATAGCATCCATAATCTAACTCTAAATTTAATGCTTTAATGTTCTTAATTTAGAAGAAATTTGAACTTAATGAAACAAATGTATACTAATAAAATAGCACTTATCTGTGATATACATTTTTTTAACCTATGGAGAAAAAAGTGCAACTATAAAAAAGAAAACGTCAGAATAGTCAGTTAATAAATTCACAGATTTTAAACTTTTTTTCTACACAGCAACAATCAATAGGCCAAATGACTCTAAAATCTCTTAAGGTCACTGTTTTTATAATGCTACAAATTTTACAGTACCTTTCACATGGCAGTCACACAAACTCTTCTTAAATTGATTTTAAAATTCAGAAAAATAAATGTCCTCAGTTAGTTGTTTTTGTTTCACTTTCAGATAATATTCCAATTGTATCTATACCAATTAGGATTTTTAAACACTCTTTACAGGCTGGCATTATCTTCAAACTCCCAAATTGATAGAAAAGAAAAAGTTACAGTTAATTTAAACAATGTCTCTGACATATTTATTAAAATACCTCAAACAGGAAAATTAAAATATAAAAAAAAGAAAATTAAAATATTATAAGATTATAAAATTAAAGTAACATATACATAATAGCCATCTTTGATAGAATTTTCAATGAGCCTAAGGCATTCTTCCTAAACTTCTCCTATGAAATAACCCATAATAAATAACCCCGGACCTTCATATTCTGAGAATGCAGGCTGAAGCAAACATAAGGTAAACACTACAAAATTTCTTTCTAATATTTTTTTTTAATTTTAAAATAAACAAAATTCTTTCCCTTTAAAAATCTCTGAGTAAATCAGAACTCCAGGAAGATGTGCCATTTTCATCCCAAGGCTTAGACAGCTATCTGACATAATCCAGTAGTCACTAATACCCATTACAAGAAACATGCACTAAAGTTCAGTGTATTCTAATGTATCTCCATTTGCAGTGATTAAAACACAATTCCTTCCAGTCTATTCAAGAGCAGAATGTGTTCTTCCTTGAATTAATGACTTACATTTTCATGTTTCATATGTTTAAGTAACCGTAGTTCTCTGTAGGTCCTTTTGGCGTGAATGATGGACTGAAATGGTCTGGAGAGCTTCTTCACTGCCACACGTAACCCAGTTTTTGTGTCAAAAGCAGCACTTAGGAAAAAAGGGGAAAAAAAGTCACCATTAAAAATGCTCTCTATATTTTTGAGTATCTATAAGGCTCTCATTTCCAAATGGTATCACGGTTAAGGCATTTGGCTGCTAACCAAAAGGTCCATCGCATGAACCCACAAGCTGCTCTCTGGAAGAAAGAGGGGGTAAATCTGCTTCCATAAAGATTTACAGCCTTGGAAACTCAATGGGGGTCGCTACGGGTCAGAATCGACTTGATGGCAGTGAGTTTAGTTTTTGTTTTTATAACAAAATACAAACATATAAAGGTAAATATTAAAATGTCCTATAATCCCATTATTGTTATTATTTTTCCTCGTCTTTTTACTATGCATCTGCATCAAGGTCCCACAGACTTTTTCCAAACAGGGCCAGATAGTATTTTAGACTTTGTGAGACATAGTGTTACTGTCCCAACTATTCAACTCTGTGGCATTGCCAGAAAACAGCTACAGATAATAAGTAAACAAATGGGCATGGCTATCTTCTAATAAAATTTTATTTACAAAAACAAGCAGCTGTCTGATCTACATAAGCCAACAGACTGATATAAACAAAGTTGAGATCATACTACAAATTGGATTTTGTCTGTCGTCTCTGCCTAGATCTCACTGTCACCTTGTCACCAAATGCTACCTCACTGGAGCACAGGCCTCAGAAGCCACTATCTTTTCAGAATAAGCTTTCACAAATATTTCTTAATCACTCACAAAGTATATGGTACTTTTCTGGGGGCTGAGATATAGCAGGAAACAAATCCCTGACCTCAAGGAGTTTATAATATAATGGGAGGAATAGGGGAAAGCAGAATAATAAAACAATTTCAAATATGATAAATGCTATGATTAACTAAAACATGGAAATGTGATAGAGAGACAGAAAGTCGGTGTAGTTATGTTCCTTTAGCTAGGATGTCTGAGGAAGTAACATTTGAGCTGAGAAGTGAATGATAAGAAAGCAGGAACGATGTGCAGATACAGGAGAAAGGAGCTTAAAGCAGAAGAAAAAATATTTACTATTTACCACATACAAAGCATTGTTGTAAACCCTTTACATTACTTTTTTACTACTTCTTTTAATCACCCTAACACGCTTATAAAGTAAATACTATTTTCATTCTTCTATTTATACATAAGTAAACTGAAGCATCAAAACCAAATCCATTGCCATCAAGCTGACTCCAACTCATAGCAAGCAACCCTATAGGATAAAGTAGCCCCACAGAGGTTCCAAGGTTATAAATCCTTATGGAAACAGACTACCACATCTTTCTCCTGTGGAGTGGCTGGTGGTTTAAAACGCTGACCTTTTGGTTAGCAGCCGAGCACTTTTAACCACTGTGCCATCAGGGCACCATCCCCGAAGCACCAAACCAAAATCAAACCCACTGCCATCGAGTTGATTCCAACTCTTAGTGACCCTCATTGAGTTTCAAAGGCTATAAATTTTTACGCAAGTAGATTGCGTCATCTTCCTCCTGCAGAGCAGCTGGTGGGTTTAAACTTGCTGACCTACTGGTTAGCGGCCAAATGCCTTGCCCACTGTACCATCAGAGCTCCTGAAGTGCAGAGAGGTTAAATAACTTGTTCATGGTTACAGAGCTAGAAAGTGGTAAGAAAGGAAACCTAGGTCCAGAGGCCATGCTATTAATCATTTTGCTATGCTGACTCTCAAAATAGCAAGTGTAAACAAACAAACAAAAAGAAACAGGGAAAGTATGGTATGCTGGAGTGACAGAAGAAGACATGACAGAAAGAAAAAGATAGTCTATATAGGTAGAGCACAGGGAGCAAGGGGAAGAGTAGAAAGGGCTGAAGGTTTGAGATGTATGCAGAAGTCCAATCATGTAGGACCACCATGGGAAGAAATCTGACGTGTATATGTTATTTATAGAGACCATCAGGGCTAATTCCACCATGCCTCATTCTTCTTCTTCTTTTTTTTTTTTTTCAGTCTCAAATGGTCATGCAAGACTTTCTGATAATCTATTATCACCAGAGGTTCCTGAGTGGTACGAATGGTTTGTGCTCAACAGCTAATCAAAAGGCTGGCTGGTGATCTGCTTCCGTAAAGATTACACCCAGAACACTCAATGCAGCTCAGTTCTGCTCTATAATACATAGGGTCACCATGAGTCAGAACTGACTTAACAGCAACAAGTTTTTTTTTTTTTGGGCAATCCTACTTCCGTAGTGATACTGCCTCGGAAACCCAAGGAGGGGTCGCTATGAGTCGGGGCCGACTCGACGGC